CAACTGCATGCCATATTTTTATATGAAAATAAACAAGCTGAAAAACGTTTAGTGCTTTTCAATAGTATTAAGCCTATTCGGATTCCAAACATCGGATTGGTTTCTTCTTTAAATTATAAATAAAAGTAAAAATATGAATGGTATTATAATGTTATACTAAAACTAAAATTAAAACAATCAAAAAACCCTTAAGATAACATGTTGAAAGAAAAAAACGCATCTTAAGCACACAGAATAACATAAGTGGACTTTGAACGATTAATTGCCGCTTTGAACGATTACGTAATTGTGGCATCCATAATTGTAATCGCGATTAGAAATTCGATTAATTGTGCAGCCCTAGCGTCAATATTGCCATATCAATTTTAGCCGGATTCAGACCCCGAGAATATTGAACAAGAGGAACCTTTAAGCATAAGCAGAACCTTTGCACGCACGGATATTGCAAGACATGTTAGAGTGGTAACGTTATTGTTGTTGTTTTTTTTTGGCTAAATCACGTTTTAGATAGGATGTCAACAACTGCTTAAAAATAACTGCATTTACTATGTACAGAAAAGTGCAATGGTAATATGTATTATGTTTATTGTTCTTTAATTCTAACATTCTAACATGAATTGGAATGAAACTGTTATACAGTTGAATTTATTTATACCATAGTTCAGTGTTTCCCACAGACATGCACTCTATTTGTGGCGGCATATATATGCAAATTCATTCTCTGCCGTTGTGGCGGGCGCCACAAATAAATCAATGTATGGGTCAATGTATTCTGCAGATTACATCATTGTCCAGTATTGTACTGTCATTAATTTATAAAAACGTTTTCATAATTGTAACATACATATTTACATACGTAATTATTCAGGTGCATGTGTAATAACTTGCAAAAACTTGACACTACAGCAGCACTTCTTCGTTGTCGTCTAGTCTGATGCACTCAACCAAAGACTATAGAATAGTCTTAAAGAGACTTTGACCAAAGACTACAACGCGCAATATGGCGGGATAGTCCCGCCTTCTAAATGAAAGAGACAAATTTCCCATAGAAACCTGACTAGACCAGCCCATACACATGCGCAGTCATAAGTACGTTATGACTCCGCATGCGCATTGGCTGGTCTAGTCTGAAAAATAAGCTTTTTAAACGCTATTTGAGCATAAGAAACAACATTCATGGGGCAGGAAGCTCTGGTTCCCATAGAAACCTGAGGCTGGACCAGCCGATGCAAATGCGCAGACATAAGCACGTTGGAACTATTGGAACTACGCATGCGCATTGGCTGATCTAGCCTGAAAAATAAGCTTTTTAAACGCTATTTGAGCATAAGAAACAACATTCATGGGGCAGTTCATTTCAGATTTTGTTGCTGATTTGAAATATGTAATTTAATCGCGAGTTCAGCAAACAGTTTTTGAGATTTCAGGATTTCCCCATTCATTTAGATAGGACTTGGTCTTGTTTGAGCTGCCCGGAGCAAATGTGACATAAATTTTACAATGAAATGCTAATTAAATATGAATTATTATAATGTACAAATAATAATAATTATATATGGGTAGATATATATAGGTTATTAATGATTATTATTATTATTACATATTTATTTTGTGTTATTTTTTCTTATTATTTCTTGTCATTTTTAATTTCTTACGTGCGTGTCACAGAAATGGCAACCCAACGCAGTACCAAAACTGCAAACTATTTTCCTTAAATGTATTTATATAAAAGATGCATCTTACGGCTGTAAACAAACCCGTGTGAACTGCTGTCACCTGAAACTCATCCTGATTCAGCAAAGGGAAGCGTCTCACTTGCCTTTTCTCCCAGAAGCGTGTCAGTGCTTAAAATAAGCGGCAGCAGAAGTCAGTTGTGATCTGGCTGGCCGAGTGTCAGAGCCGCAGGTGAAGTAAAGCTGCTCTAAACATCTCAGCATCTGCGTGAGAATCGGCCCACACCACAGTTTATTTCACAGATCTGGAGCTACTTTAAGGAGGTGATAAGTAAAGTCTGTGAGGCTTTAAAAAGTGTTGCACTTTTACAGCAAACAGTCGCAGGTTCTGGAATAAGAGTAATGTGAATGCAGAGTTTAGCAGATTGTTAACTGAGCTCGAGTTTGTTGCAGCAGTGTTGTGTTTGATATTCATATAAGACAATCAGTGTGATGTGTTACTTTAATATTACTTATATTCTATAGTATTTATTCATATTTTGAATTATCTTTTATTTTTCTATTTAAAGTTTTAGTAATTGTGCTTTGTCCTTTGTATTATTTATTCATTTCTTTATTTATTTTTGTAAATCCCTGTTTAGTTTTAATTAGTTGTATTTCATTTTTAGTAATTGTAGCAGTTTAACTTAGCATTTTAGGTTTTCCTCTAATATTCCTTTCAATTTTATTTCAATTATTTGTTTTAATTACAAAATAAATAATGATATTCTAATGAGCCACTTTGTGACATCACAAAAACCCCGGAAAACAACGCTACAGTCCAAACAAGCCGTTTGTTGTAGTTCTTGAAAAGGGATTTTTAAAAAACGAAATATCTCCCTTTGGAGTGGACTTTGAGATTTGTAACTTTGTAGGACTTTTTTATGCCCAAACATACACACTACACACAGTGAAAAAGCATAATAGGACCCCTTTAAAATAAAGGTAAAATATAAATATAAATATAAATATAAATATTAAGGGGAAAACTTTAGTAAAAGGGGAAAATTTGTAAAACTGAAATAAAATGTAAAGCTAAATAGAAATATTAAAAACTAATAAAAATGAAAATACACAATTACTAAAACTTAAATATTAAAATAAACTAAAATACAACGAGGACTCGTGAACTTCACCGTGGACAAAAACACCCAGCAGTTCCAGCTGCTCGAGTCCTGGAGTCACTCTGAGATAAACGAGGTGAGCCGCTAACGACCTCCAGCTCAATTAGTCCAGTAAAGCATTTTAAACATGTGAATTATACAAACAACATAAATCAGCTAGAATGGAAATGTCTGTGTTTAATTAGATTTCACTTTCTGAGTCTTTCACTTTGTTGTGACACACTGTTCATTTATATTGATATCATCACTTATACCTTATATTACAGTAAACTAGAAGAGCCTCACTATATAAGCCAAGTTTATTCATATAGAACATTTCATGCACAATAGTAATTCATAGTGCTTTACATAAAAATAATTACAAAACTAATAGTCTAAAATAAAAGTAATAATAATAACAATATTTAAAAAGTAATAAGTTATATTCATATGCTCTATATTTGTGGAAATAGTTACAGTAAATAGAAGTAATTAAAGGTGCATAAAAGATTAAAAAGCAATAATAGTAAATCATATAAATAAGTAATTAATTAATAAAATCATAATGGTAAAAGTTATTTCAAACAATATTAATACATACTCTATATATTTGTGTGTGTGTGTGTGTGTGTGTGTGTGTGTGTGTGTATATATATATATATATATATTTTGAAGTGGATCAATAAAGTTCATCAAAGTATTGAAGAACAGGTATTGTTTTGGTTTTAGGACAACATTGATGAAAGTTTTTGATCCACTTCAAATGTTGACTACTGTATATCATTAATAATAAAAATTAACAATATAAATTTCATTTCAATATTATTTATATATATATTAAAATTAAATGTATATTTATTAATTTTGTTAATTTGTAGAACTTTACACAGTCATGGTTACTAATAGATTTTCTGTCTCACACTAGTTAACCAATAAACTATTAATTTGTAAACAATTAATAAAAACAAACAAAATATATATTTAACTAATATAATTGAATAAGTTATAATTTATTAATATAATTTCAGTTAATTTCAATTAATAAATTAATATTATTTAGTATATATATATATATATATATATATAAATATATATATAAAATCATAAAAGTGGTAATGAATAATAATAATCATATTTATATGTATTTTTTCACTGTATTGTAATTTTTATAATATGTCACCCTGGACCACAAAACCAGTCATAAGGGTCAATTTGTTGAAATTGAGATTGACAGTATTTTATCGCCTCACTGCATGTCATTAGTGTCAAGGTAGTTTTTGCATATTTTTACAAACTCATGAATGAGTTAAAAATAATTTTCCGTGCTAATCGACAGTCTGTCAATGGAGTTTAGCTTATTAATTTCATATCACTCCGTTAATATGTGTGATTTCTGACATGAATCTGTTGTTCTTTCACAAGATCAGTTTCGGTGGAACGTCAGCGGCTGGACTCCAGAAATCCCACTCCAGAAGAAACTTCCACGGCTGCTTGGAAAACGTGCTTTACAACGACATCAGCGTGATCGAGCGAGCCGAAGAGCAGCAGGTCTTCATCACAGTAAGTGTGTGAACACAGTCACGTCTGCAGCTGCTTTATTTGGCCTGTTAGCGACTGTCAATTGTTGGCTGCCTCATTTTTCCATAATGAGAGCTTTGTGTTTCCGTGACCCTTACCATGTTCTCCTCCATTATACAGGGATTCTCCTTTTTTTACAACCATTGTCTTGGGATTTTGGGGGTTAAACCAATTACCATCCCTTTAATTAATTGTCGTAATGGCTGTGACATTGGTTTCAAGATAATAGCCAGGAGAGCAAATGCATAATTTATAAAGCAGACGTTCTTCACGATCACAAATGCAGCTTGCGTGAGAAACGCTCTTGGTCTTACTGCAGTATTTTGTCTCTCGCAGGGGAACGTCAGCTTCACATGCACCGAAGCCATAGACGTGCCGATGACCTTCGCCAGTCCTGGAAGTTTCCTCGCTTTGCCGTGGGTCTCCGGTGGAGAAAGCGCGTCGGTCGCTCTGCAGTTCAGGACCTGGAACAGAGCGGGCCTGCTGATGACCTTTGACCTGCAGCATAACGCGGGAACGCTGTGGCTCTATCTGAGCGAGGCCAGAGCGCGACTGCAGATCCATAAGACCGGCCGGATCGTGACGGACATCACCGCAGGTTAAGCTCATGCATTGTGGGATATATATACCATAGTTTCAGTTTATTTGACAGTAAAAGCAGAATCATCTCTCTTGTGTGTGAAGGGTAAAGCAAAGTCAACATCAGTGGCACCTGCTGCTCTGAGCAATGCAATATGTATGAAAATTTACATCACAAAGGAACTTTCTGGCTAAAAATAGTTTTATTGATTAAGTTTAAGGCAGAAATCTGTTCTTGCGGTTTATGTAAAAATTATCTCCCTAATGCCTGTTATTTTGCCTGATCCACATGCTTGCTCTCTCTCTCCACAGGTGCCAGTTTAAATGACGGTCAGTGGCACTCGCTGGAGCTGGCTGTCCGTCGAGGGCGTCTCGCAGTCACCCTGGACAAAACCGACAGCTCTACAGCGTCCACTTCCTTCCCTGTCGTGCCTGACAGCCAGCTATTCTTAGGCGGTAAGAGCAACCTTTAGCCATCCATCGCCGTCTGCTAACACAAAGCAACACGCTAGCTCCGAGTAATTTCCCTCTACACGAGCTCAGTCCTTCACGTTAATCAATCCGTCGTGTCAGTCAACGCACAGCTTCCGCTGAGAAAAGCACATTGGTTTAGCTTTCCAGCGGTTTGGGGCTGAAACTCTCGGAGGCTTAATTGCCTTCAGCTCAGTAACTGGAGAGAGAGAGATAGAGAGAGTAACGCCGTCTGAATGCACTGCTGCAGTGTTTCTGCCCTGAGCTGCAGTAAAGCATGCATCAGATCATCATGCATGTTATGAGACGGTTGTCCACATATAAGCATTTGACATGACAGTATGTGAAATTTTTGCAGGTAAATTTCGACATGTGATTTGTAAATATTTGTTGAGCGCAGTCCAAATAATTTTTGCAGCTAGCGTTATTAGTGTTAAGTAAAACAGTACATGAGTACAAAAATTTTTTTATTAAAAGAACAAAACAAAAACTGAACATAACTAAAACATATCAAGTTCAAGTTCAGTTTTATTTCTAGAGCACATTTAAGCACGAAACAAGGCCGACCAAAGTGCTGCACAACATACGATAATATATAACAAGGAGAAAATCAGAAAACAAATAAAAACAATTCAAAATCCATACGACTGCCGTAACAGTGAAAAGAGACGTTGTGTTTTCTAAAAATAGAGCCCAGAGGAAGAAGATAAAGAGAGAAGAGAGCGGGAGATAAGATAGAACCCTGAGGAACTCCACAAGTTAGGTTGCCTGTGGTCGAGTGAAAACTTCCAGTTTTTACCACAAATCTCCTGTTTGTTAAGAATGATTTAAACCAGTTTAAAACCACCCGATATCAAATCGATAACTGAAATAAACTGTAAATAGCTTATTTCCAATGGTAACATTTATCATTTTCGTTTCGTTTAACTTGAAATACGGTACTTATAAACTTTAACTGAAATGAAATAAACTTAAAGTAAAAAATTAAAGTTATTTTATTTCAGATAAATAAAATAAATACAAAATAATAAAAACTATAGACATATAAAAATTAATTTTCTGAGCACAATCGAAATCAATCAAATATTTTTGCGGTCAACATTATTAACTAAAATAATAAAAATTGTTGTTTAAAAAAAATAAACTTTAACTGAAATAAAATTAACTATAAAAAAAACCTTAAAAGCATTGTATTTTAGCAAGTTGCCATGGCAACATTTATAATTTTCCTTAAATTGAAATACTTAACTAAAACTGAAACAGTGTAAAATAGACTATAAAAAATTAAGCTCATTTATTTCAGCTAAATAAATACTAATTAATAAAAAATATGTAGACATATACTGTATAAAACATTGTATTTTTATTGAGCGCAATGCAAATTATTTTTGCAGTTAACTAAAACTAAAAAAACAATAAATTAAACATTTTTGTTACTTATAAATGTTAACTGAAAAAATAAACTATAAAAAACGCAATCCTATTTTATTTCAGCTAGTTGCCAAGGCAACATTTCTCATTTCCATTTAGTTCAACTTGATGTACTAAAATAAGGAAAAATGTAACAGTGTAAAATAAACATTGCCTGAATTAAATAAACTATATATATATATATATATATATATATATATTAAATTGTTCCAAAGGGTGGGGCCAGCCACTTCAAAGGCTGTAGATCCTCTGGTTTTTAAGCGTGTTCTAGGGGTCTGAAGGAGAAATTTGCCCTCTGATCTTAGTCCCCTCTTCGAGGAGTAGGGGTGGAGTAAATCAGACAAATAAGACGGAGCTTGATTGTCGTTTGTCGCGGTTTGGAAAAAAAGGGAGAAATCATGACAGAATAACTCGGCGGATATCGCATTTTGCGTAAAATTAAAAATGGACTTTTCAATACCGACCAGATACAATACTGATTTTGGCGGAAACTCAATTTTTTTTTAAATGGCATTTATCGCGTTTTGGAACCAAACTCTTCATATATATTATATATATATTCAAATTAATTTCAGCAAATAAATAACTAAAACTACGTACTTTTACTTTTATTTTGTGTGTATTTGTGATTTTTGTCTGCAGGATGTCCGGACACAGAAGACTGCAGCGGCTGCAGAAACCCGTTCAGTGTTTTCCAAGGATGCATGCGTCTCATCCGGACGAACGGCGCTTTAGTGGATCTCATCCGAGTGCAGCAGATGTTGTTTGGGAATTTTAGCGATCTGCAGATGGACATGTGTGGGATCGTCGACAGGTAAGCAATTACGCTTTTATGTGAACTCGCAAAACGTTCCGCTTTCCATTTTCATCCTCGCTAAATATATGTGTTCAGCTTGATTATGTAAATACAGAGATTAATTAGCCAGAGAAATGGCACTGAATACTGATTCGCTAAAAGACGCAGACGATGAGGCTCAGGGAGACTCTGCCCTCGTTTAAATATTTATCCATCTGATCAATTGCAATGACTCACTTTTTGCTTTGTTATAAATGCAACTTTTGTTCACAGTTTAGTTCAAAAGGGTACTGTTCTTGCAGCACAAGGTTTCTGGACTTTCTGATTATTTGTTGTTTAAATGTTTTTTGCATCACCGTTTGTGACATGAATGATATCTCAAATTGTGCAGCTTGTTAAGGAGAGTTGTTAAATTTTAAACTTTGCAAAATAATTAATTTAATTTTAAATTATGCCAAAATATTTTTTATATTATTTTACATTTTTAAAACATTTTACAATTAATTTCAAATCATTTAAAAAATATATTAATTTTTTTTTAAATTAATTTTAAAATAATTGTATGAATTAAAAAATACTAGGTACTTTTTAAAGCAGAAGTGTGTAATTTCTGTGGCACTAACAATACTTAGGCTTGCACGATACATCTGTATCATCAGCCAATATTAGAGATTTCTTTATTTTTAAGTAGCATTATGCAGTGTTAATCTAAGTGTAAAAATAGAGTAAATTAACATGAACAATTAAATATCTAGTTTCCATTATTGGATATTTAAATGTTATTTAATTTAATTTAATATTTTTAAATAATTAATTTAATAATTTAATAAATAATTTTAATTTAATAATTACATTTAATATTTAATTATTTAATTGCATGCTTATTTCTCCTATTTTTACACTTAGATCACCTTTTTTATCATGAAAAACTCACTAAAAGTTAACTTTTTTAAAACTTTAATAATTTATTAACTGGTGAATGTAATTATTTTAACAATGTAAACAGCATAATTATTTTAACATTTAAACAAATGTATATTTAACAAATATAAGAATGCATTTTTTTGTACATTATAATTTATGCATTGCATTTAAAAAGTTTGTTTTATTTTTATTTATTCAGACAAAATCTTTTAGAATTTTGTTTTTAATTAATCAGTTTTTTAAGTATAAAGACTGAAAATATATTGTCTTTTAAAACATATGCAAATTAAATTGCATTTTAAGGTAACTTTTAAATATGTACACAATGGTAATTCAACGTGCTTTGCATAAAACATTTTGAAAATAATCAAAACATAAATAAAAATTAATTACAAGTTTTACATTTATTAAAAACAAATAGGAATAATAGAGAATAATGCATACATAATATGGTACAAAGCAAAAAGTACGTAGACATTTTATGTGAATTTGACACTGTTTTTGCAGTCATAGTTCAACAATATGGGTTTTTCAATGGAAATTAGATGAACTTGCTGACATGAAATGCCTTTTATAGCCTATAACTGTATATTTTCCATTGACAAGGCTGTCTGTAGATTTTGGCGTTTTTAATTAATCCGTTTTTTAAGTATAAAGACTGAAAATATATTGTCTTTTAAAACATATGCAAATTACATTGCATTTTAAGGTAACTTTTAAATATGTACACAATGGTAATTCAACGTGCTTTGCATAAAACATTTTGAAAATAATCAAAACATAAATAAAAATTAATTACAAGTTTTACATTTATTAAAAACAAATAGGAATAATAGAGAATAATGCATACATAATATGGTACAAAGCAAAAAGTACGTAGACATTTTATGTGAATTTGACACTGTTTTTGCAGTCATAGTTCAACAATATGGGTTTTTCAATGGAAATTAGATGAACTTGCTGACATGAAATGCCTTTTATAGCCTATAACTGTATATTTTCCATTGACAAGGCTGTCTGTAGATTTTGGCTGTTTTTGTGCTGTTCTACCAAGTCGACGTTGTTGTTATCAAATATTGGCCTGGCTAGTATGCAACTAGTATGCAGTATGTTTACTGTACACATTATGCAGTCTCTCTAGACTGCCAAAGATGAGATATTTTCACACAAAACTGGATTAAAATCACAAAATGACTTTATTCACTGGCCGTCGCTGACTCTTTTATCGTTGCACAAGGTTTCACATGCTGTTTGAATGAATAGTAGGCTGGTTTTAGTATATAATGCAGGACTGATTGTGATGGTGTTTCTGTCCTGTTGACCTCTGTTCGTTTCATGTCAGTGAATGTTTGCTTCATTTGGCTTGATGCAGAAATGGCTTTCTTTTGCTTTGAGACTGCAGTGAATCTCCTGAAGACGAGGCTGTTTTTGTGACAGAGCAATTTCTTTCTTCTGTGTGTTTGATGGGCACTAAATGCGCCGCTGTGACCGAGCCGTTCAGAGTGAAGGGGAAGCCGTGGCGCACACACTCGCGTCTCAAGTGAATATTGTTTTTGACTCGATGCAGATGTAGATGCGTTGTCTCTGAAAGCTGCGTTGCCTCTGGGTTCTCGTTTACATTCTGAAAGGTCCCGCTTTCGTCTGTCATACTGAAGACTTCTGGGATTGCTGTTTGTTCGTTTGTTTAAACGGTTTATTGTGTTTTTAGTGATGTTTGCAAAGCTATTGCAGCATAGGGTTAGTGATCATTCTGCATCGTTTGTGGCATGAATGTCTCAAATTGCATGGCTTGTTAAGGAGAATTGTTCTTTTACGTATCTTTTACATTTTTTAATTATTTAAAAAATATTACACATTATTTTTAATTTGAAAAATATTTTTTTGTATTTAATTTAAATGTATTTAAAAATATTACATTTTTATTTTCTTTAGTTTTAAAATATTAAAATATTTGTGTTCATTTATATATTACAGTTAGATCACCTTTCTTATTGTGAAAACACAAATGTAATTTTTTTAACATGTAAACAAATGTACATTTAACAATTCTCAGAATAAATATCCATTTTTCATACTCTACACTGTAAAAAATTAAGTTTGAAGTAAAAAAAAGTAAATAAAAATTATTGGTTTACATAAAAACAAGAAAATATTAGAATATTATTTCAGTCTCTCTACTTTATTTATTTATTTTTTTTAAGTTTTTTTCTAAATTTCAAAATTAAATTAGTTGTGAAATTTCTGCCAGTTTTTCAGTGCATCAAAATGTTTTTCAAATGTATAATGTTACATTTTAAAAGACTGATTTTTGTTTTTTAGTGTTTTAATTTTTTTTATCGTATAATTTTGTTTGTTTTTGTCATTTTTAGTAGTTAGTGTTTTTTATTTATTTAATTTTTAGTTTTTATACTGTTATATTTGTTTTATTTTTAGTTATTTTTAGGGTTGGGAATCGAAAATCGATTCTGACTCCAGAATCGGATACTTAAGGTCAGGAATCGGTTACATTGTTACGCCAGTAGGTGGCGAAAAGGGGCTGTTCAAATGTATTTGTCTTTGAATCATACAAGAGATTTGTTCAAAAACACTGATTCATCCAGTAATGAAACAAGTACATCTTGAGTGAGTCATTTAATCATTCATTCATAAATTACATGTGATCTTGTTTAGTTGTCTAATGCTTTTTCTTCAGAATCATGAGAGAACCACAACTTCCATTGGGGGAAAAAAGAAAAGAAAAAAAACGAAATTTGTCCAGAATCATGCAGTTCTATTTTGCACACAAACAGCTCTTAAAGAGTCCAGTTTTTATGTAGCCTGTTGATTTTTGTTCATGGTATTCAGCTCCAATAAATGGTTTGAAAAAAAGAGACACAGGATAAATGTTTGATATCATTATTTAATCACATTGGAATCGAAACTGGGAATCGAAAAGAATCAGAATCGAAATCGGAATTAATAAAATTCAAACAATACCCAACCCTAGTTATTTTAGTACATCAAGTGAAAATAAATTAAAATAAAATATGTTGCAACTGAATTTTGAAAATTTATTTTGAATTTTGTAAAGTACATTTTTATTTTATTTCAAGTAACACAATTTTTTAGTAGTAATTATCAGTAATTATTGCTCTTGATGTGAACATGATGCTACGTGTGTTCTTTAACGCTGTGAAAACAGCATGCGTAAGTCACGCAGACACTTATGCTAATGCAGTTTAGCACGTCAAGCGCTGGCGTCGCTTTCACACTGGTCCGGCAGCTTGAATGGAGCTCTCGGCTCTCATTAGCGCACACAGTATTATTGAGTCCGCAGGCATGAGGCGAGGGCAGACCGCGGGTGACGTTCCTCTCACTCCATGCAGAAACAGCAGCTCCACTGCGAGGGTTATTACCTCTTCTAAAGGCCTGTAGGTTGAGCTCAAATAACATTGCTGCCCATAACTAAGAAATATGGGATGGCAGCGGCTCTCATTGGCTTTACATGTGCCCCATGTGAACCCACGGGCCCTGTGCAAAATGAGTGTGGACCAGAGCGAAGCTGAGCGCCTTTATTAACCCCACATCAAAGATAATATGAGGGAAGCAGAGAGCTGATGTGTGCTGCTGTCGTTCGGAAGACTAAAGTTGAGCTTGTAATGATTTCTTGTACAAAAAGACCAATACATGTGTTTACTCTCATGCTACTCTTACTATTTCAGTAGTATATAGTATGAACACTGTGCACAGTATGCACATTCATTTGTATGCATTGATACTGTATGCAATGCACTAGACTTGACCTGCCATCTCTAGTATGATGAATGATTAATAAAATAAAATAAAAACATCTGAATTATTAATTAGCATTTGAAGCCGTTTGAATTTACTAGTTTTCTGCTTCAAAGCACATGATATCAGCAACGAAATATATGTACATTAGGATAAGTCATTTATTTATTTATTTATTTTTAATTCTATTATTTATTTTTTTATTTTACCTTTCCAACTATGCACAATTATATAGTTGCATTTTATTATTTGTATTTAGCATTGATTTTTATCCTGCTGTTCACAAATCATGACCCATCAGAACAGACTTGAAATGAAAATAA